TTAACKATTTAATAATTTGTTCATCATTCTTCATCTTATGTACGGGTACCTACTTATTATAATTTTTTAAAGAATAACAGTGGTTTTGAAATATTATTTCATACGGCGCCTATGAACAATATTCTTTTTAATAGTAAACATATGTTTAGTGTCAAAATTCAGTCATTTTTGAAGACGTCAGTTCGCCACCAGATTTGGAACAAGCTATAATCTAATGGCCATTTTGTGAATGAAATAAGTAGAACCCCGGTTATCAGTGTTATCACAAATGCGCTTTATCTGAAACTTCAATTTCAATTTTTCGTTCTCGTTCATTAATTCTTTTCAACAGTTTATTCAATTTTTATTTTTATCAGTTTTTTTATTAAGCAGATTTTCAGATATTTCGCATTACTAACCGGGTGTAGGGGTTAAAAATGTAATTTCACGTTGGCGTGCGAGCTGAAATGTTGCAATTGCTGTGGTTTTAGTCACCGATTTTTGAAAAAAATATACAGAAACGCAAATTCGTGAAACAAAAATTGGAAATTTTGGTTTTCAGGTCAAGGGGCGGAAGTTCCCGGCCGACATTGTTCGAGGGTCCGTCGGAGGCGAACAATCGCGGAATAAATTAAATCGCAACCCCGAATCGGGTGATCAGTTTAACGAGACCCGAGTTGGGGCATAGGGAAACCAGGAACGTGTGGAATGACGCCATCGCCAGGTAGAACACAGAGTGGAATCCAATCGGCAGCTATAATTAATACAGCCCCAAACAATACACTGCACGATCAACGGCCAGATTCCGTCCAGGAAAAACAAGCCTTTGTTTTTGCCCAAGCTATTCAAACATTTATGCGAATGTAATGCCCCTCGACTTTGGGCAAGAAAAATCCTAAATAATTCGGTCGTGATTTTTTCGACTATCTAAAAGCCGAAAAGAAGCAACACGAGCACGATCAAAACGGCCGAAACGTGACCCATAATAAGAGGGTGCGAATGACGGGGGAGGTCTTTAAAAACCCAACAAAAACTGATTGACTTTATTAAAAATACGCTGCACCTATACTATCTCTAAAATTCCCAATTAAATCACTGGACGGTTTTAATCGAACAAATGAATTGCCGGAAAATTGAATTGCATTTTCCATGCGAATGCGAACGCTTTTTTATTGGAATATTTCCACAACGGAAAATAATGTTGTGATTGGGTACCGGTTGCATTTCCCAAGATTTATCAAGTTGTTGGGGGAAAAAAGCTGTCAAGATAAACAGTTGCCAATCGGCATTTCATTCGCCATTTAAGGCCAAATGAGTACAAGCAGTGGTATTTACTATAAGAATAACTTGTTAATAACATTCAGCGACTTCTTATTAAATGTGCAACTTTCTGACTTGAGATAAATTCTAGTGCTTAGCAAAACTAAACACTGATTGGTACTTAGAAATTGAATCCCACTTTTTTCACCCGTAATAACATGACTTGTGTAATTACAAGAATCTTTATCGCACTGATTTACATTTCTACGTATCGGTGTAAAAATATTTTCGGGATGACCCTGTATATAACAATCGGAAATGTATAAGTCATATTTCAATCAGTTTTTTCTCTAGTAATTGCAGCGGTTAATTGAACGAAATTACCATAATAAAATAATAATAACAATGCAGCCAATTTAGTATATCGTGTCGATAATCGATCGTATGTTTTCACCAATGCGCCGACACAATAAAATTACATAACGCTATCGGTGAACTGTATAGTGTAAATAAAACAAACTAAAATCAACATAATAAACATCAATGCTGCAACTGAACCGGCTTTGCCACCAGAGCGTAAATGTTCAGCCACTTTCCCTTCGGGCACAGAAATTTATGCATACAAGATCAACTTTACAGAAATATTAACCGCAAACTTAAATGTGCACACTCGTATTATACGATCTGTCACCGCAACAACAGAGCAAAAAATCCCTAGATTTTCATACAAAAAGCGCCTTGCACGGGGTTAACTGCACTACGACACGCAATATCCATTTCGTAAATGCTTTACCGCAATTATAAAGTTTTCCAAGTTGTATAAATTCGAAACAAAAATCATTAAAATATCGTTTCCGGTTTGTTTTTGCACTTTTCCGACCGGATGCGATTACGCTTAATATCATAAATCCGCAATGTATTTTCAATTAATGCATGAAATTGTAAAGGGGCGGTCATAGAAGTAATAAATCGCTTCTCGGGTCGATGATTGTGGGTTCCGGCAAGTCTCTTTACCAGCTTCTCAACTTTTATGACCCGATTTAATGTGTTCTGTTGGATTTTATGGCTACCTGCGTCGGTTCGCTCCGATATCATGTATTATAAACTTCTCAGCGTTAAGTAGAGAATAATTCGGCTGAAAAATTTAATAAGCCGTTTTTGAGAAAACTCTTCCAAAACATAAATTACGACTTGTTCTTTGCCGGC